GTAAAGAATGGTTTCTCAGTGAACCTGCTCTTTAATTGGAAAAAGAAAAAAAGCTGTATCAAAGCTGAACGCCACCTCCTGTTTTTGACCTTAGTCATCATGGCGAACAACCTGGCAGGAACAAGTTCTGTTTGCAGAGCAAGGTTTCATCTCAACTCATTCACTGCCATTGACGACTAAAGTCGTCATTTTAGATCCAACCGTTGTTTTTACTGTTTGAGCGTCGGAACGAACCCCCGCGCTGAGAACAAACACCTCAGCCCTGAAGCCGATCTTCATCCACACATGTCGTCCATCACGTGATCAGGAAGCAGAACATCCATGTGTTAGGAGATCGTTTTGGGCCGCTCCTGTAAAAAAAGTGAGGCGCGAACCGGAAAAGCGTCTGCCGACCACAATTCGACAACGGATTATGAAAGAATGGATAACGCTCGAAACACGCGGATTCGTCCTGATGTAAGAGGTGAGTCTCCTCTTTGTTTTGGCGTCGACATCACCCTAGCGCGCAACGTTCTGTGACTCTTAAAAAAACTGTAAAAACTGTGAGAAACCCTGGCAGCGAATGAGTTAATAGCATCAATGCAGATATGCAACTTTGTTATTTTTCTTTTGTCCAGAGATTAAAATTGAGATATTTATCTGGCGCCTGCTGCATTTTAAGTGACACAAAAAGAAAAAGCAGGTCAAAGATTTACTTTTCACCTATTAAAGAATATCTTCAATTGGAGATACCTTGAGGTAAAATAAAATCGTACCTTTGCATTTCATTTTTAGGAATCCACCAGGAATCCTTATTCATGGTTAAATATACATGTCTAAACTAATACTGGTGGCAGTTCACATACCTGTCCTCAGATTTTGGTTCTAGAAGAATTGCCATCTAAAAATAATAAAATAAAATAAAAATCTCACTAAATCTATTTGGTTTTGCCTCATCTCATCCACAACATCAAGATGTTTTCATTACCCCCAGAGAGGTTACGTGAGACATCTTCATCTTAATCTGCTCCGATAGGTAAATAAAATGTTTAAGATAACGTTACCTTGATATGTTAGCTTCCGTTTCGCTAATGGTGCGTTCGCTTTCTCCTCGGAACTCCGAATTTCCAACTAGAAGAATATGAACGCGCTCTAAAGTTTAGCTTCACTTTACTAAATGCGACGGGTGATTGGGTGAAGATGAAACCAGCGACAACGATCTAAGTGTGAGGCATCATCGTTTTAATCTGCTCCAGCAGTTAAATAAACTGTTAAAGATAACGTTAGCTTGATAAGTTAGCTTCCATTGCCACCATTGTTATCAGCTAATGGTGCGTTCGCTTTCTCCTCGGAAATTCTAACTTCCCAGTAGGAAAAATCAAATGAAAAAGGACGGCAAAAGGAATGAAGATACACAGTAAATTTAGTTCACAGTAAAGATGTTTGCTTCAGTTTAATTATCAGCTTATAAAACTACAAGGACGATGTTAAAATACAAACTGTTGTATGTTATTTATCGAGGTATTTATCAAATATTGTTAAATATTTAGAAAAATATATATTTAATTGTAAAAGAGAATTAAAATATTAAACACTCAAAAGTATCTAAAATTGGTACCGTTAAGTACTGGTATCGATTCCTAGGTACCGGGAATTAGTACCGGATCGATTCAAATGTCAAAGGTACCCATCCCTATGTCACAGATGCCAGTTTCCAGAGCGCTGGCTTTTAAAAGCCAGCAAACCGACAGTTAGCCTTGAATAGGGCTTACATATATTTGAATTTAAGATGATAGGATTTCTTGCCACATCCACACCATCCATAGCTTGGGTCTTTGTTTGTTCAAACACACAGTCCCTTTCTGTCACTGTACCTCCAAATTACCATAAAAAACCTGCAGATGTTCAAATTCACAGGCTTGTACACAGATTTGCCCACACCTGGCAGAGCGGGAAGCTCTGTAAAAGCTAAAAAGGAGTCGATACATTTTCAGAAATGTCACAGATCCACTTTCTCGTTTACTCTCTCTCCTCAAACTGAAAGCTGTATCATGTAGGTGCTGCCCTTGGTCTCACACGTGCACAGCTGCAAGCACAGAGGCGTGCACGCATTAGGACACAGGGAGAAGTGCGACTTTAAGTCTCCTCTTTTCTGTTCCCGGAGCAAAAAGTCGAGAGTCTGGGCTTAGGTGATAAGTGCACTGGGATAACACCCAGCAAGAGAAAACAAACAAACAAACAAACAAACAAACAAACACACACACACACACACACACACACACACACACACAAAGTAGGTACAGCTGTATTTCCTCTTTCTAACACCAACAAATAATCTTTATATAATGCATTTTTGCTCAAGCACTCATTTGGAGACCACTCACAGACAAACAAGCCAACAAACACAGAGACACAAATAATATAATTAAACTGTATTTTGCACCGTTTCTGCAGACTGGCAGAACAGCAGAGGAAAGCATCACCAAACACGCCTCCAATGCACAGGTTATAAATGAGTACCGAACAGCTATTTGCTTTTGTACCACTTATAAACATCCAGATGTGAATTGGTTTTAGGACAACCCTATCATGAAATTTAAAATTAATCATTTTTATTTGATCAATGCTGAAATGACATTTAGTACAATTACTCATTAAGTCAGGAAACAGAATGCATTAATTTATCTTTCTCAGCTAAAAGCACAATGAGAACTACATGCAATTAGAGCTAAATTATGATCTGTGTTAACCTGAATGTTTCCCAACTTATTAAATAATATGACTGAAGTAATAATGGGCTCGACACACGGGAGGCGACATCGACTCTCCTCCATTCATTTTCAATGAGACATGTGCAACACAGCGATGATCGCGAGTCTCCCTCCTACCAAGCGAAACGCGAAAAACGTGCGTGAAATTTTGCGCACATGCACGTGTCGTGCACAGGCGACCCAGCGACGCGATCCCAGAAATTTGAAATATTTTCAACTTTTCATCTCTGTCGCCCGGACGAGGACCAATCAACGGAGGTTTCATTCACTGACCAATGAGGGGACAGGATGCTCCGTACATCTCCGAGCAAACATGGAGGAGAAGTTGATTATTATTATGTTTTATAGTAAAATCACAAGTAAGATTTCACATAACTCTAGCAGCACCTTGTGAAACATCATATCTACCACTTTATTAACTCTGAACCGCTTAAATAACCTTAATTCCCTCCAACCTGACACAGCCAAGCAAAACAACGGAAGTTTTGATTTCGCCATGGAGCAGAACGCGTAGACGGCTTTGCCGCTGGCCGTGGATCGCCTCCCGTGTGTCAGGTAATAAAAGCGACAGCGACGAATTTCGCTGATCGCGGTCGTTTGTCGCCTCCCGTGTGCCGAGCCCATAACTCTAGATATAGAACTTTTGAGCACCAAAAAGCTGCTGCTAGAAAGCACAAGTTTGTAAAAGCCATGTAATGTCTAAAATATCCACAGATCACATTTTAAAGAGACACTTTGGAACTTTTTCATATTTTTAAATCAATTTTCTTGGGCCAGTATGTGCTAAAACGACCCTATACCGGTGTCTGTACAGGATCTGCTCGGGTGCAGGATCGGCTCGGGGTCCTTCGACTGCTGATGACGTCACATGACTGCAACTCTACTCGGCTTTCACACACACGTTTTGGAAAGACATCAGCAGTTTTGTTAATAAATTCTTGTTTGTTAACACCTAAATGTTTTCTTTATAATTGTAATTTGTTAATAAAACAACATATTATCTTTGTTTTGTAAAGAATGTGAAACTGCACAAAACACATCGGACTGACAAAAAATAGAACAGTTCTTATATGTGAAGCCATATCTGTTTGTATTAATGTGGAGTTCGTCTGTATATTTCCTTAGTTGTTATCTAAATACATTATTTGACTCTAAATGTTGCTTGGTGTCTTTCAATAAAGTTCTTATATTTTATTTTGCCCCATTTCATCAACATCAAGAGCTTTTGAGCATCATCGTTTATCATTTGCTTATATTTTACATTTCTTTTAGAAATTTAAACATATTTTCTCCAAAAAGTGTTGATTTTTGGACTACAGGACTACAACCGCTAAGACTACAACCGCTAATTTGTTCTGACCAATCAAAATCATAACGTGATAACGTCATTTCCGTAAGCTTCATGTTCAGCCAATCAACTACTTTGACGTCATCGGCAGTCGAAGGACCCTGAGAAGATCCTTTACCAACACCGGTTTGAATGAAATGCCACCAAACTCCTATCGCCCCCTGTGGCCAGAATATTCCACTTGCAACTTTAGAGTAGCCGGTCTGCTCTGTTGGGACTTAAAAATGTAGCTGATGTGCCTGACACTGCAGTCAGCTTCCAGCACGTATCTGCATGTTTTAGATCATGAACGCAGCTGATTTGTTTATTTAGTGATGAATAACTCCTGTAGACACTAATGAAGGCTGAGGAGATGTTTCAGCTGTAAGATTAAGGTGTTAAAAAGAGGAATGTATAGCGAGGAGATGCACGCTAAAAGCAAACCAAAACTGCCCCTTTAAGCAGACTATAGTCCAAAATTAGCATAAGCAGGTGGCAGAGTTGTGCTTTTTAGTGCTGATTAAAACCCAGGACTGTACAAATTAAAAGACTAACATTATTTATATTTTTTATCACCTTAGAATCAATATTATAAAATATAGCGCAAAGTGTAATGTGACTAAATAAATGTAGACGTTTTTTTGTTTGATTCTCATCCAAGGCACAGTATGAACCTAAAGAAATGATAAAAAGTTGAAGAGATTAGCTTTTCTGTTTACAGAGGAAGACTCTAAAGGGAAAGAAAACTAAAACAATCACAAAGCATTACATTCTTAGAGTCAAAAATAGAAAATGTGAATGGAACAAGTTGAAAAAAGTTTCATGTCTACAAAATTCTCTCTCTCTCTCTCTGTGTGTGTGTGTGTGTGTGTGTGTGTGTGTGTATGTGTGTGTGTGTTTCTATATTTCCATGTTTGACTCACAAGTTTCTTCCTCTTATCCTGCTCAGTTGGGGGCTCCTCTTCTTCACTTAGCTTGGGTTCTTCAAAATGGCTCATCAGCATGCAGCTGCAAACACAATAATATTCAACTCAATATGACTAACCACCCATAGACCTGCACAGTAGGACAGTCTCAAAACAAGCAGTGTGTGCAAACACAGGAACACAAAAAGACTGAAGCCTCTGGTGGTTTTATTACACAGCAATGGCCGCTGTTCATACTGATTCATCCTCATGCAGAGAGAACCACATGTAAATCAACACTACACTACACTACACTATGATGTTAGATGGTACATTATGATGTCACAATGTCGTGTGTGTGTTTGTTAGCGGCTCCACCCTCTCGGTCTGCTAGGCAACAGCATTTGTTGCATTTTTCAAACAGGAAGTGGGAGTTGAGTAAGAATCTGGTAGGGGGTGACTTGCTCTTTAAGGTTTTTTTCCTGACCAATAAGTGACATTTAGCTTTGTGTTTTTTATATAAAAATATTAAGCAACCAACCAAAGAGCATCACTAAATGTAGAAACGTTGTAATTAAATCAAATCCAATAAAGCTTCTAACTTCAGATGAGAAGGCTTAAAATTTGTGACCAACAACTTTTAATCTCTCCCTGTAACGAATTAGACATTAAAACTTACTCCTTGTACGTGCCCGTTTCTGGATCCTCTGTCATCACATCATGCAGAGCTTCAAGAGAAATGCTGATGATGCCACAGAACTTGTCCTGGATCACACTGATAACACACAGATTAAAGCTTCATTACTCATGAGATCTCATTCCTTTAACAGCTGACTGCTTGTTTTTGTACAAGTGTGTGTGCATGCATGTGCAGCTGTGAGATAGATGGGCATTTGTCCAATCAATTACTTCACCCATTTAGGGTGGGAAAAAAAATCTAAGTAAATCAAATCAGAGTAGCGACTGAATTCCATTTTCTAGGCACGCTGAAGCGATGGGAGTCTGCCTGGGGGGAAAAATAAAAGACAAACACATCGTCATCTACTGAAAATTCACATCACAGCTGTAGGAATCAACATTCTGTGCTCAGTAGGATAGCAAAGCAGTGGATAATTGAAAGTCTAAATCAAAATGTGAGTTTTGAAAACATTCTCAAACATTTATGATAAAACAAAACCGTGTTCCCATAGTGCTCATAAAGCACAACTACAGCTGCAAAGTCTTTTACTGTCTGAGGCACACACAGCCCAGGATGATAAATAAAAAGTGATGGGACTTATTGTCTTAACAGCTAGAATTCTTGTTTACTACAGCGATTATTCCTGTAAAGAGTCGGCCCACACTTTGAAAATATGCTGGCTTGCAACACCCACCACCCAAACTTGGAGACAAGCAGCAATCATTGATGAATTATTTGAGTCATTCTTTGAAAAGCATTGTGGAAAAAAAAAGAGGTGGGACCCCCACATCTAAGGGAATAGAAAACCAAGGAGGCAAAAAGAGTATAAAAAGAACAGAAGTGTGGGTTTGAGAGCATCAAAGGCTGTCAGTTTATGTACTTGACTAGGCAGAACCCAGGTGAGGCGATGCTAAGTTCACTGAGCATAAAGTCTGGAGAAACTCAGCATGAAACCCTGTCAGCCAACATGGACCAACCCCAGATTTCTTAAGTGTGGAAATCTTTTTCAAGTAATGACTTGAGGCAAAATACTGCTAAACATCCGTGCACCGTGTTCCTCTTTACATTCATGTAAAACAGCTGCATCCTAAAATTCAATTCAATTCAAAAATACTTTATTAATCCCAGAGGGAAATTGATTGCTGTAGTAGCTCAGAATAATAATAATAATCAAGTCATCAAAGAGTTGTTGTATATTACAATGGCTGTTGGCAGGAAGGATCTCCAGTAGCGGTCAGTGTTGCAGCCAAACTGAAGAAGCCTCTGACTGAAGACACTCTTCCGTTGTCGGACAGTCTTGTGAAGAGAATGCTCAGGGTTGTCCATCATTTTCTTGATTCTCTGGAGAATCCTTCTTTGCATTATCTCCTCCAGCGGTTCCGAAACTGCCGAAACTCTGGCTGAGTCCTTGAAAGGGCTTGGAGTTCCTCCATCTTGTTGGCCAGTGATCTCACATTGCCCATTATGATCGATGGAAGAGATGGTTTGAATTTCCTCTTTCTCTGCCTCCGTTTTGCTTCCGCTCTGCACCCACGCTTCTTGCATTTTAGCTCATTTGGGATTCGTGGCTTCAGTTGAGGTATTATTTCTACCTTTCCAATGTTAATTAGCTGCTCCCGATTGTAAACCAGCTTGTTGCCATGGTTACACACCATAACAAATGCTCAAAAAGTGAAAAAAAAGCTAAAAATAGCTGTAAAAATCCTCCAAGCTTCACAGCACCCGAAACAGAAAAGTAAAGTGTCCAAAAAATACATTTTTTCTTGAGAAACTAGAAGAAAAATGTCCAAGAAAAGGCTAAACTTACATATGGTCAACAGAGCTACTCCAACATGCAGCCGCCCAGAGCAGCACAGTTCCGCAAAGTTGGAATCACCATAGATTAGGCCTCACTGGTTCAGTTTTATCTGTTGGCCCAAACTTTAACTCAGACCATGATGTGTGTTACACACAATACATTTTGCATACATATGCATTAGGATTGTAGCGGTTCGTGTATTCGTATTGCTCAGTTTGGCACCCTCAGACATGTAACTGTGTTGCACGCAATTGCTATTAGCTAGAAAAACAAGCTGTGGTGTCCAAATTCAGGGTTTGCATGTTAAACAACTTGGCCTACCCTGTCAATGTTGGCTGGTATCAGTTTTAGACACTAGGTCCTTCTTTGGCTGGGTAGACAGGAAGTGAACGGCTGTAAAATGAGACAGTCTTTCATAGCATATGTCTTTCCGGAACTGCGCTGCTCTGGGTGGCTGCACGTTGGAGTAGCTCTGTCGACCATATGTAAGTTTTGCCTTGTCTTGGGCATTTTTTCTTCTAGTTTCTCAAGAAAAATGGTATTTTTTGGACACTTTACTTTTCTGTTTCTGGTGCTGTGAAGCTTGGAGGATTTTTACTGCTATTTTTTTTAGCTTTTTTCACTTTTTGAGCATTTGTTATGATGCGTAACCATGGCAACAAGCTGGTTTACAATAGGGAGCAGCTAATTAACATTGGAAAGGCTGAAATAATACCTCAACTGAAGCCACAAATCCCAAATGAGCTAAAACACAAGAAGCGTGGATGCAGAGCGGGAGCAAAACAGAGACAGAGAAAGAGGAAATTCAAATAATCTCTTCCATCGATCATAATTGATCATAATGGGCAATGTGAGATCACTGGCCAACAAGATGGAGGAACTCCAAGCCCTTTCAATGACTCAGCCCGAGTGTCAGCAGTTTCGGAACCGCTGGAGGAGATAATGCAAAGAAAGATTCTCCAGAGAATCAAGAAAATGATGGACAACCCTGAGCATTCTCTTCACAAGACTGTCCGACAACGGAAGAGTGTCTTCAGTCAGAGGCTTCTTCAGTTTCGCTGTAACACTGACCGCTACTGGAGATCCTTCCTGCCAACAGCCATTGTAATATACAACAACTCTTTGATGACTTGATTATTATTATTATTCTGAGCTACTACAGCAATCAATTTCCCTCTGGGATGAATAAAGTATTTTTGAATTGAATGTCCTGTAACCTAGCAACAGTGACTACGATAAACGTATGTTAACTCATTCGCTGCCAGCGTTTCTCACCGTTTTTACTGTTTTCTTAAGAGTCACAGAACGTTGCGCGCTAGGATGATGTCGACGTCAAAACAACCAAAACAAAGCGGAGACTCACCTCTTACATCAGGAAGAATCCGCGTGTTTTCAGCATTATCCGTTCTTTCATAATCCGTTCTCGAATTGTGACCGTCAGACGCTTTTCCGGTTCGCGCCTCACTTTTTTTTTTTTACAGGAACGGCCCAAAACGATCTCCTAACACATTGATGTTCTACTTCCTGATCACGTGACGTGTGACGTATGCGGATGAAGATCGGCTTCAGAGATGAGATGTTTGTTCTCTCAGCGCGGGGGCTCGTACTTTGCAGTTCGGCAGGCTTTAGAGTCTTATTTACTGGTATTTGGACATCTCGCCTCGGATTAGATAACAGCAACGCCTCTCTACCACTGACTTGCAATATGGATGTTTTTTCTCCACAAATAACACTAGCCTGGAGGAGTTTCTGCCGTGCGGTGAAGTTGCTAATGCTAACGGTTAGATTGTATTAGTCGGTACGTTCACTGCTTTTCATGGACGTTACAACAACAACAGCCTTCCCTGTCGTGAGTCAAGATGGGTGAGTCAATGAACGTTAAGTGACAGTGTGACGTAGATCTGTCAGGCTTTCCAAATCCTAGAGTTTTACCGTCTATTTTCTATCAGAAATGAATGCAGGAGATAGGTGTAGCATATTCAGCATGCATGAAAAACTCAGAGTGACTGATTTAAATCAGAAATAGTGATTAAAAATGGGTTTTCAGTTAACCACACCTTTAAAGTAACAATATGTAAGAATTTTACAATTAAATAATTTCTCAATGATGTTGGAAGGAAGTTTACATCAAATAGGACTCAGGAGTGAAAAAGTCACTTGTTGTTTAAATAAATGACTGCAGTACCCAGATTTGACCACAGGATGTCATTCTTTGTTTTTAAATATTGCACCTTTAACGCTACATTAAAGCAAAATAGAGAATATTTCCTAAAAGTAGAAAACATTTCTATTTTCCATTAGTTCAGCCTGTTTTTACGATTTAACCTGAGAAAGAAATAATTGATAGAGATCCCTAAACAGAAATTATTTCAAACTTGTGTTTTTTCTTTTCTTTTCTTTTGCTTTACAAATTTTCATCAGAAAATATTTTGTTTACTGTAAGTAAAGTTTTATTTTAAATGCCTTTAAAGCCGTACCCATTTATACTAAAGATTCCACCTTTGTTTCTTCATTTTACTGGAAAAGAACTAGCATGTGACATAAAACCCAGGTACATACTGAAGGATTATGGGTGCATCATTACACTCCTACTAAACATGTTCAAAGACAAAACAAAGTAAAATAAATAAAAATGAATAAATGGGTTCACGATTTACAATAAAACCAAAGAAAAACAAAGAGGGAAAACAACTGGATTAAAAGGGCAGCTGTGAACAAGATATGGACCTCTTCAATTTTTGTTGTGGCTTTTTGTGAGGTTGTGCATTTGTCATGTGGCATTTCCAACCAGTCTACGCTGTCATAATCAATTGTTTCTGCAGACCAAGGACAAGGATGTAACAACGAATTTCATGCCTGTCTGTGCTTATAATTGCCGTGTCTGAACTGCAGATTGCACAGATTCCCCAAATCTTGCTGAAAATAAGAATGATCCCACCATCAGATGGGACATCAAACAAAATGTTTATCTTTAAACATCACAGGGGATTTTTTTTGAACCACTTCTGAGAAGTTTTACTGAGAAAATGAAAGGAGGTTTTTCTTGATGGCATGTAAAGAACTTAATCCCAGCCCTGAGCTGCAGGACTGCTCAAAGGTGCTCCGTATTAATAACACATGACAAAAAGCCTGGAATTATGCATGATACTGCTCCAGACTAGGGTTGTCACGGTAACCGGTGTAGCGGTAAACCCAAGAAAAAAAGTTGACAATAATAATAACCGTCTTGTTTTAAAAAAAATATATATTATCTCGGTGGTTTACCGTGGCTGCGGTGTTGGCGCGGTGACCCTTACCAGCCACCGTATCATCTGCTGAAGTTGCCGGCGACACATGCGCACTTTGTTGTTTACAACCAAAACTTTCTTGAAGCTAAAGCTGAAATAATGGCCAAAGGAGGAGACGGCAGTGCTCAAGACATTTATTATCCCTCAAAGAAGACAAAGTGGGAAGTACGGGCATCTTTTGGATATTTGAAGAATGCCGAGGGACAGTTGATAGAAGACGGCTATCCTGTTTGCAGCACGCGCAGAAAAAGTGTCTGTGAAAGGCAGCAACGCTTCAAATCTCATGACACATCTGTGTGACCATCACCCACAACTCTACAGTCAACGCAAGGCAAGTTAGCGTTTTAGCTAAAATGCGTGATCTGAGGATTTGGGTTGAGGGAGAACGCATCGAGTCGCTATATAAAGCAGCCGCAGCGCCGCTACCTGCATATAAACCGTGTCACGGACACCCCCATATTGAAATGACGCTATGCATTATGGGGCAGATAAGAGTTGGTCTCTCTCCGAGAATAATTAGGAATTTAACAATGATAACTGCCTGATGACATTTTCTCAAATCTGCAAAGCTCACTGGAAGGACACAAACCGAGGACAATATTTTCCTGATATAGGGTTTATTACTCAAGTAAGGGTAAAAAAGTATCTGATTAGAAGGCTACTTGAGTACTGAGTATCATCTGATCTAATATTTTTTAAATGATGACATCAAACAGACAAAAAATAAGAAGTTATGGGCAAATATTGGTATTTTAAAAACTAAAGGGGAAAAATGTAAACAAATAAACACCATAATTACAAAATAACTAATTTTAGGCAAAATTTTGACACAAACTGAGGACAATATTTCCTGATATACAGAGTTTATGTAGTTGTCTGAAAATGTAACACGTTTAAAAAAATACCGTGATAACACCGAAAACCGTGATAATTTTGATCACAATAACCGTGAGGTCAAATTTTCACACCTTGACAACCCTACTCCAGACATATAGATACAACTTCAGTTTGCTGAGTTCTTGACATAAATAAATCTAAGAAAATGTACTAGTTAGATCTGTATCAACAAGCATCAATCAACATTATATTGATTTGCAGTATATTTCTAGCCTATTTATGTGAATACAGTTAGGGTCTGGCCACCACTGATGGCTCTCAGTCGTCAAACCGTCTCTGCATACTATTGGATAACAAACGTGTCACACTCATTGCTACGGATGTCAGACAGCGAGATCGTCCGCTAAACACTGTCAAAGAAAAAGCACATACACAGTCTTTCTAAATAAAGGATTTAAGTACCTTTTATCTGCTGTTAACTGAAAGAAAAGCCAAGTCTAAATTGTCAAAAGTTGATGTCAATGTTGTTTCAAACGAGCTGCCGCCATCTTAGTTTTGCTAAGTCGCACTAACATCCCGCCCACTAAACAGATAGAGCGCCATGATTGGACCCGTATTAGACTGTCCAGGGCTGTGGAGGTTCCAATGGAGTGAGGCTAGACTGACATGCAGAGCAAAGTCATTTTGCTTTGGCAACAGACGGTCTAGATTTCTAGGCTAGGTCATTCCTTCTTTAAAGGGGCATTATGGAAGTTTGACAGTCAAAACATGTATAGAAATAATAAATGTCTTCTTCATACATTCTCCTGCAATGCCCTGGTCCTGTAGAATGAGCCCTGGCATTTTTACTGTGATTCCTGTTTTTCTGTAAAATCACAGAAAAAGAGAAGCTCGGGTCGAGCAGGCTGCTTCATGCACGTTCACGCTCAGGCATCGCCTGTAGCATTTGTTATCCGTAGCTTTAGCAGCAGAGAGAGAGGCAGTGCCACTTTGTCGCTGTTCCTAACGCCTAGTGATGAACCTAGCTACATTTCTGAGGACCCTTAGCTACTTTCTGTTCCTGCAAATTAGCAACAAAATAGCCATTTTCGCTCCGAACCGTTCTTTAGATTGACGTTGTTTCAGCTGTCATCAAGGATATAAATGTTCGATACAAAGAACGTCACCGGCGCTTTAGTTCACATAGTAAACTGTTTGACTCTCAAGTAGGAGACCTGGGTTCGATTCTGGGTATGGATAAAGTTTGTTATTTGGAGTTTCATTTTTACATTAATGGTATATTTTTTTACAGTAAGATGCCCAAATTTTTATTTGAGACTCGCCGAACGGCATTGAATTCACAGATAAAAAAGATGTGGGTTCAACTTTCATTTTGGAACAATTTTTCAAGCAAGGGAAGGGAATGATCTGAGCATGCAGAAGGACTGACCCATCATAAACCTTTGTCGGCTGTGCTGAAGAGAAAGGTACAGAACCAAATTATTTAATTAATTAGCTGCGTGTTCTCCTATCCTCTGTCCTCCGGGCCACAAACACACACACACACACACACACACACACACACACACACACACACTGCACGTTCGGCCGGCCAACGAGAAAGTGCAGCAGCAGAGACAGAGGCACATTATTTCTATTAATTTCCTGTGTTCTTCTGTCCTCTGGGACACACACACACACACACACACACACACACACACACACACACACACACACACACACACACGGGACTGTCTCAGCTGTTATTTTTGTTAAGGAGTGTGCACGTACAGCATGTGCGCCTCGTGCATGAGCCTACTATTGAAGCTGCTGTTACGCTTTTGGCCTGAGGGGGCAATCACGAGCATGAAAATTCAGAAGTCCGAAAAGTCCCTTTAATGAGGAAAAAGACAACTTAGACCATCAAAACCTACTAACATAATGAAATGGGACACTTTCTACACCGAGCTTCACACTTACTGCCCTGCTGAGCGTCATTTCGCGATTCTTTGCCAAAAGTATTTCGTGGAAATTCCTCTAGCACCATATTTAACACTCATCATGAGGTTTTGACATGAAAGGGCTTGACTTCTAGGTGTTAGTGAACAGTTCTGTTTTTGCTCTTTATTGGTGAGAGATGTTGCCCAGATGGTGTTGACTCATAGCACAATAATCCAGCACACTCAAGACTCATGGGCCCTCTGCACATTAGCATTTTTCATCTCACTTAGTAAAGCCTGGGGTATTAAAATCCAGACAAGAGGCGCTGGACAAAATATAAAACTCGCACTGATCTGAGTGCGAGTGTGTGTGTAGGTTTGCTTTTCCTCACAACAGGCTCACTCATAGAATCCAAATAAAGGATGTCTGGAGACCCAACGACCTGTGTAGGCTGCTGCGTGATGAACGTACGCGTGTGTTAAAACTGGCACTGATGCCAGTTAAGCTGGTGATTTTGTGCAGTCTCTATGCCCTAAAAAGAAAAGCCCGTCATCCATTTCTGAATACAAAACAGTTTGTGTGTTCCACATTTCTCACCTGTTGTCAGACGGGAGCAGAGAAAGCAGAGCCAGAGACGACAACTTCCTCCTTTCAGGCTGAGTGATGTTGTCCATGCGGTCGACCCAGATCTCTATCACACTGCCCAACAACTGGTCCATCTGAGGATTTGAGAGAATTAAATATAAATTTTTTCTACATAATTATTAGTCTGCTTCTCTTTTTCCAGAATCGGATCGCGGGGGCAGCAGCTTAAACCGAGAGGCCCAGAATTCCCTCTCTCCAGCCACTTGGGCCAGCTCTTCTAAGGGCATCCCAAGGCATTCCCTGGGCGGCCGAGAGACATTGTCCCTCCAGCGTGTCCTGGGTCTTCTTTCAGGTCTCATTCCGGTTGGACAAGCCAAGAAAAACTCACCAGGGAGACGTTCAGGAGGTATCCTAACCAGATGCCCGAGCCACCTCAACTGGCTCCTCTAGACGTGGAGGAGCAGCGGCTCTACTCCGAGCTCCTCTGGATTACCAAGCTTCCCACCCTATCTCTAAACCCCATTCCCACCTGTACCGGGTCGGCCCGGGCCGGGTACCGTAGGTTGTTTACATATCTGGGTGGCCTGGTATTTTTCCGGGCCAACCAAGGCTCATTCTCAGCCCTCTTCTCGAGGGGGTCTGCTTCAGGCCGACCAGGGCCAACACACCCACTGCTGACAGCAAATTCACACCTTCCATTAGAGCAAGCCTCTGATTGGTGGGTAGAATCAGCCCACATGGGCTTAAGGCATGCTCAATTCATTATCATGCTGATTACCCAGAAGCTGAAAGTGTCTCTGACTGCATTCCTTGCATACCTAAGCAAGGATGTGTGGAAACAACCGGGCCAGGCTGGGGCCGACTGGGGCTACCCGGCCTGGGCTGACCCGGTACAGATGGGAATGGCCCATAAGGGAAAACCCAGACACCCTGCGGTGAAAACTAATTTCAGTATTCATCTGCCCAAAGCTTGTGACCACAGGTGAGGGTTGGATTGTGGATCGGCCGGTAAATCAAGAGCTTTGCCTTCTAGCTCAGCTCGTTTCACAGATCGGCACAACGCCCGCATCACTGCAGGCGCCTCACCAATCAGATTGCCGATCTTGTGCTCCATCTTTTCCTCACTCGTAAACAAGACTCCAAGATGCTTAAACTCCTCCACTTGGGGAAGGACCTCATCCCTGACCTGGAGAAGGCCTTCTACCCTTTTCCGACTCAAGACCATGGAAGAAAAAGGATGGATGCTTCTCTTTTTTTTTTTATTTCACACATTTGTTTATTTGGGTCTTTCTTTGTGTTAACAGCTTAGTCTGGTTTTGGTCTCTTATAAAAGCACTTTGTGACTCTGCTTACACTGATCCATTCTGTTTATTTTTCTCTGTAAAACACAAACGCTGCAAAATATACACTGTAAAATTCCTTAATAATGGGTGAAGAAACACACACAGACAATAGGGAAAGGGAGGCAGGAAGTATTAGGTGTTTTAAAACAAGAAATACAAACAGCAGCAATAAAAAGGGCAATAATGTTTGACTCCTCACTTTAAAATGTGCTCGGGTTATTAATTCTGGAAAGGTCAGCGAAGACAGAATTTCTTGCCATTTCCTTTTACTTCCTGCCTTGTCTTTATAAAATAAAAAATAGGTGTGGTACACACTTTTAAATGTTGCAATTTCCAAACTACAGCTTTTATTTTCGTTAAAAGCGTTAAAAAAACTATTAAATAAATAACACCAGGGTGAAGAGGCAGAGGGCTCGAGAATGTCCCCATTTGTAATTCCCCAGCTCGCTGCTTCCAGCATCATCAGAATGACTTCTTTTTAACAGCCACTTTGTCTCTCAGAGACGTTTAGAGAGACGGCTGGTGCTGAGGTGACAGAAATGAAAGGCAGACACCAAGCCTCACCTCCTGGCTGCACTCAGAAGCCATTTGAGTGAGCAAAGAGGAGAAGAAGCCAGCGTTCTGGAGCAGCACACGGCCCATGATGCCAAGGTAGGTGGACATCACCACCGGGTATCGCTGCAGAAAACATAAGCAGGAAAAAGCCTTTTGTGTAAAAGTGGTCGTTAAGCTTTAAAAGGAAGGTGTAAGTTAACAATACTGATAATAGAAAAATTCCTGGATTAATGCATACCACAGTACAAAAAAAGATAATGCAGCAAAAGCATCATTTTAGAAGACATCTTAAGTCAAATGTGGTTAAATTCAACTAATATGCATACAAAAGATTTGCTTCTCCAAACCAACCTGGGCCTGGACTTGAAAGACGTGGAGGTAAAACTCACCTCGCCATCCACTATACCTCTGAAGACAGCTGGCAGAAGGGACTGGAACACGTGGGTCCCCAGCACGGGGCTAACCTTTAAAGCTATTTCAACCACCTGCAGAGACACAAGGGGACGATCCTTGAGGGACACTCGTGATGTGTAGCAAAGTGAAACAGACAGCAAAAAACAAACCCAAAGGTCAGTAACAGGATGATGTAAAGAGAGTAAATTATGTCTCTAACGTTAGGAAGAAGAAATATGTTCAAGGTCTCACCTACACTAAGTAGACGGTGGACTGGTCTCATTTAAGTTTTAATTTGGGTGCATTCAGATGACAAAGTTAGAAAAACTTGCTTTATCTGCAGAAATGTGGCTACAAATGTTTACCTAACTTCCTGAAAACAAGAAAATTACATGTTTGGGGGTGATTTCTACTACAAAAAGCTTTACATGCAGATAATTAAATTACTTGAACACGTGAATGTGTGGCTACACTTTGGCATCATTGCAAGACTGATGCTAAATGTTTGCTACGTAAGGCCGAATGATGGCAAAGGACAAAAAAAATCTGTGTTTTTTATTACTAATTAACACATAGGGACTCTCCACCATTTGACCTCAGAACTGAAGAAGCCTCTCGGATGAGAGGTGAAACGTCTTCAAGCAACTCAAAGAAGTCCAGACACTTTTCTTTCAAGCTCATTAGACTACAATTAACAGATACCCTCTTTTTATCTTAAAGGTGTGGAACACAGTGGTCTCTAGTGGGACTGAATGCCTTCTAAGAGACATAACACCTGTTTACTAGGGCTGCCACGATTAATCGACTAATAGTCAACTAATCTGGCGATTAGTCGACTATTAACCCTCCCACTGTCTTCATGGGTGACCCTGCAAAGAAAGTTGACCATTGAGCAGGATTGATGGTTTATCCCTTGAGGTCCACGTGGCAGGGGTGAGGTGGTGCTCCCTCCTCACCCCTGCCACGTGGACTTCAAGGGATAAACCATCAATCCTGCTCAATGGTAAACTTTCTTTGCAGTGTCACCCACGAAGACAGTAGGAGGGTTAAAATAGTCGTTTGGGGCAGTCCTACTGTTTACCATCAGTGAGTGTGGGGTTGCAGTGTCTCCTGCGAGCTAATACTACAGCGCAGACAATTGTAATTCAATTCTAAAATACAGTACTTTATTAATCCCAGAGAGAAATTGATTGCTGTAGTCAAATATGATATTTGATTAACTCTGTATAACACCTCTCAAATATCAAGGTTGGTCTTGCAAAGTTATCTAGTTTGCCCAGAATAAGAACTGTTTGTCTTCAGCAAATTGTTTTGTTTTCTTTGAGCACTCAATCGTCAGCTGAACACAAACCAAGCAAGCAAGCGACAAAAGTAAAGTAAAACTACGAATTTAGAATAAAGATATGATGTATCATTTTGTGTGTTTTTGTACTTCATAAAAGAGTGTGTGTACAAGAAGCTAATTTACCTTCAGCACCTGGACCTGTCCTTCATTTGTGATGTCCTTTAGCAGATCACAAAAGGACCGACACAACGATTCCCCATAGTTCTGTTTAAATTTAGAAAAGCACACGGAAATATTTTGATAATTAGTTAAATTTATGGCAGAATAGGTGCGTTTGGGTGAGTTTTACTCACCTGAAGGAACTCCGTGGCAGCCAGGTATATGTAGGCATTAACAATCTGGAAGCAGGTACGGAGATTCTCTGCGCTCAACTCTGAAACAAAAACATGTGGTAACCTTTGCTGATTTGGCCTAATTTAGTTCAATTAAAGGGACTAAATCATGCTAAATCCACTGTTTTGACCATGCGATATTGTTTTGTCTCATCAAACACACCCTCAAAGCAGTTTTCAGCTGTACACTTGCATTTCGCTCTCCGAGTTGCAGCTGCTGCAGGCCTACCAAGCCTTTGCAAACACAAGAATGGAGAAGATTTGCATCATCATGTCCCACTCCTCCACATCCAGTTAGTGTTGAATTTGGACTTCTCGTCCCCTGGACTGTAAACACTAACGCCCAGTGGGTAATTTATTCTTTGCAGTGAAGAAGAACTGATTTCTTATCTAGTCTGCACTTTTGATAATGCCTAGAACCCAAAAATAAATGTTTGGCTGCAAAAGGTTGAGGCATTTATCCAGTCTTCCTAAAGAAGAGTTTAATCCTTTTATGTCTTTTTTAAAATATATTTTTCTGAATGCAGTTGCTGCAAACATCTGAATATGTTATATGGAAATGTAAACTTCTGTTTTATTTCCTGTGTTCGGTAAAATTTTGAAAAACAAACAGTTAAAAAATAATAATGATGTGACTGTGATATCACAGGCTCCTAGTGAAACCACCGCCAAAACCCCCAAGGGGGTTTTCAGATTGATGACTTCTTCAAACCGGCCCCACTCCAATGTTAAAACCACCCGATGGATAGGCCAGAGCGGTGAGAACTAAAATGCTAACCGCTACCAGAATGGTTTTGAGTGTAGTGGGTGAGCATCAGGGATAGACTGGGACACAAATTTAGGCGGGAGTTTGCAACCATCTCAGTTGCTTTTTCTTCGTCCGTCCGTCTGTCCGTGCGTCCGTCCGTCCGTCCGTGTGTCCGTCCGTCCGTCCGTGCGTCCGTCCGTCCGTCCGTGCGTGCGTGTGTCCGTCCGTCCGTGCGTGCGTCCGTCCGTCCGTCCGTGCGTCCGTCCATCCGTCCGTGCGTGCGTCCGTCCGTCCGTGCGTGTGTGTTAGCAGCTAATTTTCTAACTGAGAATCTTCATGTCCTACGTTGCTTTGCTGGAAATCTGGGGTTATGTCATTAACTCATTTACTGCCGGCCGTTTCCTGATCAGAACTCTGCCGACGTTTGAGCATTTTTACTGACCATGTAAACACTAAAACTACCAAGAGACAGAGTAAACTCACTCCTTACGTAAGGAAGAATCGGCGTGTTTCTAGTCTTTTCTGTTCTTTCACAATCTGTTGTCCAAGTGTGAGCTGCTGAAGCATTTCCCAGTTAGCGTCTCGCTTTAGGCATAGCGGCCTACCAAAACAATCTGATACATGGATCGTCCACTTCCTTCTTCATGACCTTCTTCACCACTCTCTCTCTATTCTGCTCTCCCCACCTATTCCACCTTCCTCTGGATCCATTGATTTCCCTCTTTCCTATTCACTCTCTCTTTCTTAACATTTTTTTCTTTTAAATCGCAATTGCATATTTTTGCTCATTTTAAATATATTTTTAAACATTTTCTAAATGCTTTTTTTATATTTTTACAGTTAGCGCCTCGTGATTTTTATCTTGAGTGGCGCTATAGAAATGATATTTTCTTCTTCTTCCTGATCATGTGACATGTAACAAGCGCGGATGGAAATCAACTGTAGAGCCATGATGTTTACTCTCAATGTGGGCGAGCGCGTTCCCAGGCTCACCCTGTTAAAAGGACGCAAGTCGTCAATGGAAGTGAATGAGAGTGGAATTCACACAGCTGGAGGCGGGACTTCATCGAATACAAGCGTCTTATTTCCAGGTTGATAAAATGTCTCAAGAGATTTATTTTACTTAATTTTGAGGACCATTCTTCATAAACTTATTTGTTTACTTGTTTAAATCCTTTTAACTGGAATAAATTAACAAATCATCATAATTTCCCAAATTAAAAACAAAAAGTAAGGGGGGTAAAAACTACTTTTAATCGAATAAAAATAAACAAGTCAGTCACGATAAAATAAATGAGCATTGCAGAAACCACATCACAAGCCTCGAAGAAAGTTCATAAGGATGTCCAGCTGCCAAAATGAATAGAGAGGTTGTGAGCCCACTAATGAAGAAGTGGCTCTAAATTATTAAGCATGGGCTGCAAGATCATTATCATGGCATTTATTATCTGCTACTTTGCCTCAGCCTCAGCTCTGCTGTCTAAGCTCATGTTAACAAACAGGGTGAAGGCTCGCAGGTTGGGGCTGGATGGAACATGTGGATTTGCTCAGAGGACAAGATCAGTGACGTACTGAAACACACCCTGACACTTCAGAGGCTCACAGCACTCAAAGGTTATTTAGTCACGGTGCTGGATTCAAGCAGGAGTTAAAAACAGCAGCAAATAGAAACCTCTAGAGAACTCTAGTGTCTTTTGTTAAATCACAACATGAGTGGCCAGAACATTTTAACACGAGAGGGTGCACACTCACACTAGAGTAACTGCCAAAGAAGAGTAATGCATCAATATATAAAATGACCTCATGGCGACACACCTGAGAATACATAGCAGATGATGATGTGCACAAGTTGTTGTTTACATGTAACACTCCTAAACCTTTGTGGTACCAAGCCTCAACAGTAAATGTTAACAACGCTTGAAGTTGTGTAATGACTACACGAGGATGCTCAGAGAGTTGTGACTCAAAAATACTGTTATGTTATATAGTCTACAGATTCACCCTCGCATGCTTTCATGTTCCATGTATAAAGTTTCACTCCTTAATGAGTGCAACTTGAGTTTGACACTACCATTTCCTTCATATAAATGTTACCCAACAAATTAGCAAATAACATATGTTCACGGACCGTTTTTGTTGAAAGCAGCACTAAAGAGTGTTTTAAACTTTAAGCTATTGTTTTCAAACTGGTTTTGGTGATTCTTGAGGTAGAAAGGTGATCAACTTTACATTGTACAGCATTCTGCAGCCTTCTACTGACCAGAAACTGCAATTAACAGTTTTGTGGCACGGGTAGGAACACTAGTTGGAGGTCACCACCAGCTTTGCAACATTAGCCTTTTACTCTGCCGATGGCTCATATAAAAGCTAGCAGTTAAGATTTTATAGTGCACAGACCACCAATAAAAAAACACAAGTAGAGGAAAAATTATTCAGCTTTTTTTGTTGGGATCATGATGGAGTCAGAAAGTAAGAGTAATGTTTTTGGAGGTGAGGCAAAGAGCTAAAGCCAGAGTGAACATTGATGCAAACTAAACTAATTTGAGAGAGCTGAAGGAGGCTAAAAAAATCATGGACTGATGATGACTTTTGTTGCTACTCGGCTTGTAAGTTAAAATATTTTTCGTTCAACAGCGTGGCTCTTTTTACTTCGTGGCTTCTTTTGTTTAAGTTAGCTCATGTTAGCGTTAGCTCATTGTTAGCACTAGCTCTTTTTTTCTCTTTATTTGTTTCATTCAAAGAGTAAAAAAAATATATATATATATACACAAACAACATAAAAAACATCCATAAACATGAACACCAAACAATTTGAATGAAAAGGGGCAGAAGGAAGAAATATCTTATATTATCTGCCCCTAACTTTTAAATAATGCTACCATACAATTCTCAATAAACAACAAAACAAAATGAAACACAGATTCATTTTATATTCTTGTAACTTACAGACCTAATCAGACACCAACTGAATTTAGGTTATTGTAGTTCTGTAATACACTTGATTTGATACATTTTTTAAATATATTTAGTGACTTTGATTCTTTTATGTCTTTGCTAAGGTTGTTCCATATTCTCACGCCATTTACAGAGATAGTCATTTCCTTCATTCTGGTTCTAAATTTCGGTTTTTTAAATACTTCAAGTCCATTTAAGAAATAATTACTGACTCTTTTTTCAAACATTTTCTGAATGTTGGTGGGCAACGTATTGGTTTTAGCTTCATACATTGTTTGCAATATTTTCATATTCACTAGATCATAACATTTCAGTAGTTTATATTTGATGAATAACGGATTGGATGGACCTCTATAGTGATTGTTATTAATGATTTTCAATGCTCTTTTCTGTAGAATAAACAGTGGTTGTGTATGAGTTTTACATGTGGATCCCCATATTTCTACACAGTAAGTCAACTATGGAACAATTAGTGAGTTATATAAAGTCCGCAATCCAGAACTATTCAGTAAAACCTTAACTTTATGTAGTACTGCAATGGCTTTGGCAATTTTACCTCTGATATAACCTATGTGTGACTTCCAGGTGATAGCTTCATCAAACATGACTCCTAAAAATTGTTTCTTTCACCCTTTGAATGTCCAAACAATATAACATTTGTTTTATTATGATTCAGTGAAAGTCTGTTTATGTCAAACCAGTTGTTAACTTTTATCAGTTCGTACTGCTACAGCAGGCTGTGGCTGGGTTGTTTACAACTGTTGTAATTTGGCTTTCTTCCAGTATGAGGGAGCAGCAGGGACACTTTAACTGTCTACTTAATGAGAATGTACAGCAAAAAAAGGCTAATGGAAAATATGACTTATACACAGATCATAAAATTAATCAAATTCAGCTTCAATCCTCAACTCGACTGCTCTGAAATTTTCATCTGGAACTTTTTTACTCTCTCCGTAGACTCGCCCCCACACCATTCGGTGAAATTAAACAAATTTAATGCAACACTTATTCAGTGAGTTTTCATTTGCAGGAAGAATTACCAAAATACAGTTTAAAATCAACAATTATATATATTGTATTACCAGTTGGTCCTATACGAGCTCGGCTGCTATTGGGCCAATTGAAGTATGCTACAAAAGAGCATTGAAAATATTAGATAAAAAACCTCTCTCATATCACCACTGTCAAATTTTAGATAAATACAAGTTTTTAAATTTTACTAATTTTAAATTATTTAAATCAGCCTGTTTAATATATAAAGTTATACATGGTCTGGCGCCACCACCAATGAGTGATTTTATTAAACAAAAGTCTAGCAGTGTTGCCTTGTCTCGACTG